TGTTGCCCTGGTGCTGAATCCCATATGGTGTGGGTCTGTACGAGTCCTAAGTGTGTTGAGGGCCCTTTGAGAAGACACAATTTCTTTCACCACCCCAGTGTCTACTGATTTTTACAGCCAGAAGTCATGGAGGTTTATCTTCTTGGTGCTAGGACCTGGAGCTGGATGGTCTGGACTGAGGCTGGGATCCCTCCCTTCTGAGGTATCCATCCTGGTTTTTATCTACCACATGTGGATGTGGGACTACCCGTTCCTGTCTCCATGTCTCTCTCCACATCTGCACAACTCTCTGTGTCTCTCCATGTCTCTGCCACTTCTCCCCGTCTGGAATGTGTGGCTTCTTTAAATCCTGGGTTGTTAGACTTCCACACAGCTCAATTTTTTGACAATTCTGGGTGATACTTGTTTTGTAGTATAGCTATATTTTTTGCTATAGTTGTGTGGAGAGGCAAGGTGTGTGGCCTCTATCTTGACTGGAAGTGCCATTACATTTTAAATATGTAATTGGGGACTTCAGTGTTTTATGTAATGTGAAATCCTTGGTGGATTGTTATATGAATGTTTTAGCAAACTATGAGCAAAATGGTTGGGATTTTTTAAAATTTATTTTACTGATTATGCTATTATAGTTGTCCATTTTTTCCTCCCCTTTATTCCCCTCCACCCTTCACTCCCCTCCCACTCGCATTCCTCCCCACTTAGTTCATGTCCATGGGTCATACATATAAGCTCTTTGGCTTCTACATTTCCTATACTATTCTGAACCTCCCCCTGTCTATTTTGTACCTGCCATTTATGCTACTTATTCCCTGTACCTTTGCCCCAATTCTCCCCTCTCCCCTTCCCACTGATAACCCTCCATGTGATCTCCATTTCTGTGATTTTATTCCTGTTCTAGTTGTTTGCTCAGTTTGTGTTTGTGTTTGTTTTAGGTTCAGTTGTTGATAGTTGTGAGTTTGTTGTCATAAAATGTTTGGGGTTTTTAGATGGATTGGAAATGTGTTACTATTTTTCATATTTCGGGTAATGTCTGAAAATTCACTGTTCAGCAGATGAGATATGAATAATGAAGGATGGTTGTATTATCTTTTTGTTTTATGGTGGCTGCACTTAACATGAGTGCACTCTCATATCTCTTTGGTCTCCTCCCCACCCTACAGTGCTGATAATGTATGTAAGTTTCATTTGGGGTTGTTATGGATATTTTTAAAAGATATTATTTATTTATTTTTGGAGAGAAGGTAAAGGAGAGAGGAATAGAAGGAGAGAAACATCAATCAGTTGTTTCTCGACTCACAACCCAGGCATGTGCCATGACCAGAAATCAAACCGGTGACCTGTAACTTTGCAGAGCGATGCCCAATCAACTGAGCCACACGGGTCATGGTGGATTTTTTTTTTCAATCCTAGCAAGAACATGGATAAATCTTAGAACTATAATGTTGAGAACAGGCCAGTTTCATAAAATTATATAGAACTTAATATACCATGTTTTGCCATGTATAGTGAGCACTTTTTCACCCAAACTTTTGAGGGAAAAATAAGGGCGCACATTATACATGGGTGTAATGATCACATACCACGGGTATAATAATGGAACAATAATCCTGTATATAATGCGCACAAAAACTGTGGGTGGGCATTAATACAGGTTAAAATATGGTAATTTATATAAAGCTCAAAACAAGAAAATTTTTGAACATATATATTTGTGATAAATCCATATAAGGAAAATCAAGGGAATTTGTACTTATGAAGTTCAGGGTAGTAGTTAATTCTGGAGGACAGACACAGGGCTGGACAGGAGAGGCACAAAGGTAGATACAGAAGTGTCCATCATATTCTAATTCTTAAATTGGGTGGGGAGTCTGGCTCCAGGCCAAACCCTATGTATGAATTTTTCAGCCTGACCATAAGACTTTGTCTGGGTGGCCTCATGGAGGAAGCTGCCCTCCCCACAGGATGCCTGGCTCATTCTCAGAGCACCGAAGCTTTCTGAAGGGAACTGATGCACTCAGGGCCCTATGACCAGACATACTCTTGTGCATACTGGGGTTTCTAACCGGGTCACCTCCATCAGACACCTCCTTACTGGGGTCCTTGGTGAGACACTATCCTCACTGTGACTCAGTACTTTTCCACTCCTAGTCCCTCTTCCTTTTCCTCCCCCAGGTTCTCCAGGTCCATGAAAGGCAGAAATCTTTTGTTTGGGGCCGTTGGCAATGAGACAATTCCTGTCTGCCGGCATTCATGTGAGCCCGCCTGGTGCTGTTCCCTGGAGAAAATGGAACATGAGGGAGCAGCCTTTCTCCTTTTCACCCTTCTTGCACTGTCACAGTAAGTGAATAAAGCTTGGATTTTTACCTTCAGTTTGGCCCATTGCCCTAATTAACCATCTTGGCACCTGGCAACTCAACAAACTGATGAAGGGAGCTGGGTGGCCAAGCACAAAGCTGTTCTGGAAGAATAAAGAGCCTGAAGGCCCCAAGGGGCACTCCGACAGCCATGCCGGTGGGCCTTGGGGAGCACTGGTGGATTAGTTACAGAAACTCTCCAGTTCTGAGGGGAACCACGGATCCTCTTTACCCTCAAATCCTTGTCAGTGGGTCAAATTAGAAATCCAACAAAGGGACTTTAGGAAAGCTAAGCCACAGGAGCAGTTCTCTGGCTGTTATTCATGGTCCTGCAGCAAGGGGACCAAAAACTGTCAGAGGCCTCACATGTCGAATTGCACCCAATAACTATTTTAAGCAGGTTCCTGGGACCACGGGATATCCTGCAGCACTGCGTGTTATCACAGCTCGTGCCTCTAGTGCGAGTGTACAGTCTTTTAGGATCACTTTGTGCAGTAGTCCAAAGAGACCTTAGTCACTTGGTTAGCTTGCGTTCACTTTGAAAAAGACCTTCTGTCCTGGCTGGTGTGGTTCTGTGGATTGAGCATCAGCCTGCAAAATGAAAGGCTGCCAGTTGGGTTCCTGGTAAAGGCACATGCCTGGGTTGCAGGCCAGGTCCCCGGTTGGGGGCATACAGGGGCAACTAATCAATGTATCTCTTGCACATTGATGTTTTTCTCCCTCTTCCTCCTTTCTTCTCTCTCTCTAAAAATAGATAAATAAAATCTTTCTTGTTAAACTTAGTGATGGAGAGTGGTGTTTGTGGGGTACATTAAGCAGAACCCTTCTTTCACAAGGGAGAGAGGTGGATGACAGGGAGTACTCCTTCCTCAGCAGGTGCTACTTGGCTCTGCAGGTTTGAGCCGCACCTGCAAGCCATCCTTGTGGTCACCTGGCTGTACAGTGAGGAACTGAGAACATTAGATGGTAAGACTGTTAACTGGACTCAGATTTCCAAGTCCGTCTGTGCTGTTCCTGCTGGCACTGGTCACCCGGCCCCACCGAACCTACTCGAAAGGCCAGGAAAACAGGTCTTGACACAGTTTGAGCCTTAGCTGACAAATCCCCAGACAAGAAAGAAGCTGCAACTGGCAAAAGAGCAGACCTGGAGAAAGGACAGCTAAGAGTAATAACCTAGTGCCCTCTCCTGGCCAACCTGGGCAAAGGGCTTCCCCAAAACATCTCTGAATTTGATCACTGGTGGACAGGGTCAAAGGAGAATGAGAGACCATGGAACTCAGCGACACCTGATGGGGTTCTCAGTGACCCCGGAGATGAATCAGAGAGTACTGCCAGTCTTACCCAGACCTCTTGGCATTCAAAAATAAGTAAGATTAAGGGCCAGGTCTAGGTCCCTCTGTCCCCATGGGGGAGCTGGAGGGCCTATGCCAAGGTCAAGTTTCAATGGGGACGTGAGGGAAAAATGCACTTCTTGAGCTTTGGTTTTTGTGTACATGTGACTGTGATTCCTGAAACCCTGGCTTCAGGATGAGGGGGAAGCGAGTAAAGCTCTTTGGTCCTGGGTTTGAGACCACTGTTACTGGGACCCTTGCCCAAGCCCAGTGAGTACTGTCAGGTCTCCACAGACCTTTTCTGCATATGGCTCCCCCACTAAATGTATTACTGGTACAGATGCATTGTCTGTGTGTACTGCTACTTGCCCCAAATCCATGGTGAGAACTGTTGCATTTTAGTGGGCCATGTGGATGACCCATGAACCTACCCAATTACCTACCAATGACTAATACCATCATCTACCCATAAGGATATTGGCTGCTTGGGGGAGAAAAAAAATACCTGCCCACACTGCTGATTTAAAATGCTGCCTGGGGCCCTCAAAAATCTAGCTTCTGGAGTCTTTGTGAGAGTGGGTGGGTCAGGAAGGACCTGAAAAGTTGCAGGGCAAATTGAAGCCCTGGGGATTTGTGGTCCACTTCCCTTCTAGGGCTCTGGGTAGAAAGAGCTTTTCATAGTGCCCTCCTTAGAAATGAGGAGTGGGATAAATCACACCCTTGGCTTTCCTCACAGCTTTTTGCCAGGGGGGACATTACACAAGCCGGGGGTTGGATGGAAGGAAGTCAAAGCCAGACCTAGGAGGCCAAGGCCTGCAAGAGCTAGGAGGAAGGGCCGAATCAGCAGGGAAGATGGCTCAGCTCCTCAGCAGCAGTTGCCAAGCCATGCCCGTGCAAAGAAACAGGCTGCAGGTCACCCCAGCTGCAGACATGCCAGCAGAAGCAAGGAAGAAAAAGGCCCAATACCCAGTGGAAAGGATAGATCCTTCCCCTGTTAGCTGGCACGTGACCATCCCTCCTCCCATGCCACCACCCCTGTATTTTGACAGCATATTGAGAAGACGAAGGGAAATGGAGATGCTTTGCCTGAGAGAAGACATAGCCATGAGAGGAGGTTCGATGGTTGAATGTATTAAATGCTTAAAATTCTATTGAAATGCATACATGTATTCCTTCTATGATTTAGAAAATAATAAAAACCTCACAAGCTTATAAATAATGTGTGGTGGCACAGAGCTAGGTGCAGAGCAAACAAAGGATTAGTTGGGAGAGATTTTTGGCTGTACTCATTTCCTCATGGGCTGTGGATAGGTAGTCACAGGATGTGGACTCTCTGGTGCTGCTTTAGGTGATCGGATCTTGCAAAAGTCTTGTTGCACACAGTGCACAGGTACGGCCGCTCCCCACTGTGCTTTCTGTTGTGTCTGTTGAGCTCATCTGAACGGGCAAATTTCCAGGTGCATCCCTGCACATTGCATTTGTAAGGCTTTTCTCCTAGACCAGAGAGAAAGAGACTTGTTATGCTTCATGGTAGTGTGGAACAAGAAAGTTGAAAGTGAATGAAGGAAAAGGTTTTGAGGATGTGGGGGTGGGAGAGAGAGAGCCAGAGGAGAGGAGGCTGGAGAATGTGAGTGGAAGAGGAGGAGGAGGGCAGCAGGCACTGGAAGGATGAGAAGAGAGCTGTGAAGGAGGGAAAGGAAGAGAAAAAGGAAAATAGAAGTAGGGGTCAGGAGGATAAGGAGGGATTAGGAGGTGGAGGGAAGGGGTCTGTGAGCCTAAGGAGAAGACTATGGAGTGACAGTCCCAGTGGAGGTGGTGTCAAAACCATCCATATGAGGTCAAACAAATCCCTCCACTTATTCCCAACATCCCAACACAGGCAACAACACATAAGACTGCAGTCGGTTTGGCTCTGGCTCAGAACCAGAACCTGTCCCTGGGACTGCTTTATCCACCCTTTCAAGTTTGCCAATCTTTTCTAGGGTCTAATGGGGTCTTAGAGGGACAACAATCTCAAATGATCCCAATGCTTTGTGAAAACACAAATCTTTAGGCTTATCTATCACCCTGACCCTTGGCCCTCACTCACCAGTGTGTTTGCGCTTGTGGATTTGGAGGTGGGAACGCTTCGAATATGACTTCCCACAGTTCTGGTATGAGCAACTGTAGGGTTTCAAAATGTCAAGTTTCTTCGGGAACTGACATCTCTGGGTCTGAAGTTTTGACTTCTGATTTTCTAGGAACTGTCCTTGAGTATAATGGAGACTTGAAAAGTACAGGAATCCTGAGTGTGGCAGTGGTGCCAACTGACATGGCATCATATGGCTTCCATAGAAAATGTAGTCATCAGTGAAGGGTGTCTTCTGGTCTCTCCTAAGGGCCACCACCTGACTTCCATAGAGGGTCTGGTCACCACTGTGTGTTGTCATCTGGCCCCCAGTAAAGGGCTGGTCACTAATGAAGGTCATTGTATAGCTCCCTTTAAAAGTTGTCATCTGGCCTCCATAAGGGGCCTGGTACCCACTGAAGGTCGTCTGGCCTCCATAAGGGGCCTGGTCCCCACTCATGCTCGTCTGGCCTCCATAAGGGGCCTGGTCCTCACTGATGCTCATCTGGCCTCCATAAGGGGCCTGGTCCCCACTGATGCTCATCTGGCCTCCATAAGGGGCCTGGTCCCCACTGAAGGTTGTCTGGCCTCCATAAGGGGCCTGGTCCCCACTGATGCTCGTCTGGCCTCCATAAGGGGCCTGGTCCTCACTGATGCTCGTCTGGCCTCCATAAGGGGCCTGGTCCCCACTGAAGGTTGTCTGGCCCCCATAAGGGGTCTGGTCCTCACTGATGCTCGTCTGGCCTCCATAAGGGGCCTGGTCCCCACTGAAGGTTGTCTGGCCTCCATAAGGGGCCTGGTCCTCACTGATGCTCATCTGGCCTCCATAAGGGGTCTGGTCCTCACTGATGCTCATCTGGCCTCCATAAGGGGGCCTGGTCCCCACTCATGCTCGTCTGGCCTCCATAAGGGGCCTGGTCCCCACTGATGCTCGTCTGGCCTCCATAAGGGGCCTGGTCCCCACTGATGCTCGTCTGGCCTCCATAAGGGGTCTGGTCCCCACTGATGCTCGTCCGGCCTCCATAAGGGGCCTGGTCCCCACTGATGCTCATCTGGCCTCCATAAGGGGTCTGGTCCTCACTGATGCTCGTCTGGCCTCCATAAGGGGCCTGGTCCCCACTGATGCTCGTCTGGCCTCCATAAGGGGTCTGGTCCTCACTGATGCTCGTCTGGCCTCCATAAGGGGCCTGGTCCCCACTGAAGGTTGTCTGGCCTCCATAAGGGGCCTGGTACTCACTGATGCTCGTCTGGCCTCCATAAGGGGCCTGGTCCTCACTGAAGCTCGTCTGGCCTCCATAAGGGGCCTGGTCCTCACTGATGCTCATCTGGCCTCCATAAGGGGTCTGGTCCTCACTGATGCTCATCTGGCCTCCATAAGGGGCCTGGTCCCCACTCATGCTCGTCTGGCCTCCATAAGGGGCCTGGTCCCCACTGATGCTCGTCTGGCCTCCATAAGGGGCCTGGTCCCCACTGATGCTCGTCTGGCCTCCATAAGGGGTCTGGTCCCCACTGATGCTCGTCCGGCCTCCATAAGGGGCCTGGTCCCCACTGATGCTCATCTGGCCTCCATAAGGGGTCTGGTCCTCACTGATGCTCGTCTGGCCTCCATAAGGGGCCTGGTCCCCACTGATGCTCGTCTGGCCTCCATAAGGGGTCTGGTCCTCACTGATGCTCGTCTGGCCTCCATAAGGGGTCTGGTCCTCACTGATGCTCGTCTGGCCTCCATAAGGGGCCTGGTCCCCACTGAAGGTTGTCTGGCCTCCATAAGGGGCCTGGTACTCACTGATGCTCGTCTGGCCTCCATAAGGGGCCTGGTCCTCACTGAAGCTCGTCTGGCCTCCATAAGGGGCCTGGTCCTCACTGATGCTCATCTGGCCTCCATAAGGGGCCTGGTCCCCACTGATGCTCGTCTGGCCTCCATAAGGGGCCTGGTCCCCACTGATGCTCATCTGGCCTCCATAAGGGGCCTGGTCCTCACTGACGCTCATCTGGCCTCCATAAGGGGCCTGGTCCCCACTGATGCTCGTCTGGCCTCCATAAGGGGCCTGGTTCCCACTGATGGTCATCTGCCCTCCATCGAGATTGCATTCATCACTGAGGGTCTTCATCTGGCTACCTTCATTGGAGATTGTCATGTTGTTTGCAGTGACAGTTGTCTTTTGGCAATCAATGAACAATGTCTTTGAGTTGTCATTGATATCTGTTATCCAGGAGGTTGCTGTGGGTTTTCCCTGATCGAAGGACGTCACCTTGTAGTCCATGGAAAAAGTCCCACTTAGGTCTCCGGAGAGTATATCAAGGGCTTTAACAGGTAATGTTGTTAAGTTCTGGTCGAGGACTCTTCCAGGGATGTTAGAACCATCTGAAATCATCACTGTGGGCCTCCAGGGAGTCACCACCTGGTTCTGCACTGCCTCATGTCGGCTGGTGAAGGCACTTGTGTCGACAGCCGGAAGCATACACAGCTGTGGCTGTGGTGCAGCTGGGGTTCTTGCCTCACGTGTCTCAGGGAAATCCTGGAGAAGCTCCTCGAGTATCTCAGGTAAAGAGTGAATCTCTTCCCAGTTGTCTGATAACTGAACTGGACCTTCAGCTGTGGGATCCTGCAAAAAATAGTTAGAAGATCAGGGATCCTATTCAATTCAAATCCCGACTCCACATACCCTTACTTTCCATCCCTGCTGACATTTAGCCCACCATGACCTTAGAATATAAGAGCCATGATTGGACTTCTGACAAGATGGAGGCATAGGCGGACACACCGTACGTCCATGCACAACCAAGATGGAGGCATAGGCAGACGCACCGTACCTCCATGCACAACCAAGATTAGAACAACAATTTAGAGGCAGAATAACACCCGGAACTGACAGAGAATTTATCTGAATGGAAGTCGGACAGCCAAGAAGTTGAAGTAGACCCGTTCATCCAGACCGGTAGGAGGGGCGGAAAGGAGCAGCTGGGTGCAGGGCGCGGCGCGTGGCGCGTGGAGAACAGGGAGAACTGGGCGCATAATGCAACCGGGAGCACGTAAGACACCTGGGGCACGCAGGACCGCAGCGGGTGGACCCTGAGTACGCAAGCGGCAGCTGGCAGACCCAGTGAGGTGGCAATTGTGGAACAGGGCAGAGCACACAACCCAGGATCCCAGAGAAGGGACTTAGGTCCCAGGAGAATGGAGCAACCGCCATTGTTCCCCCCCACCCCCACATACAACGTCACAATCTAGCGACTGGGGTGCCCAGCCCCAGTGAACACCTAAGGCTCCACCCCTCACCATAACAGGAGTGACCAGACCCCCCCCCCAAAAAAAGAGGAAGAGAGATACATTTTTCAAACAGAAGAACAGATCAATGCCCCAGGACTCATCCTTTTGAGCGACCAAAAGATAGCTAATCTATCAGATGCACAGTTCAAAACACTGGTGATCAGGAAGCTCACAGAATTGGTTGACTTTGGGCACAAATTAGATGAAAAAATGCAGGTTACCATAAAAGAGATGAAGGAAGATGCACGGAGAACCAATAGTGATGGGAAGGAAACTGGGACTCAAAACAATAGAGTGGACCAGAAGGAAGAAAAAAAAAAAAAACCAAACAGGAAAGAATGGAGAAATAAGAATTCAAAAAAATGAGGAGAAGCTTAGGAACCTCCAGGACATCTTTAAATGTTCCAATATCCAAATTATAGGGGTACCAGAAGGGGAAGAGGAAAAGCAACAGATTGAACACGTATTTGAACAAATAATAAAGCAGAACTTCCCCATTCTGGCAAAGGAAATAGACTTCCAGGAAGTCCAGGAAGCTCAGAGAGTTCCAAAGAACTGGGACCCAAGAAGGAACACACCAAGGCACATCATACTTACATTAGCTATGGTAAAAATGAAGGAGAGAATCCTAGAGGCAGCAAGAGATGAGGAGACAGTTACCTACAAAGGAGTGCCCATCAGACTGTCAGCTGACTTCTCAAAAGAGACCTTACAGGCAAGAAGGGGCTGGAAAGAAGTATTCCAAGTCATGAAAGGCAAGGGCCTACATCCAAGATTACTCTATCCAGCAAACTTTCATTTAGAATGGAAGGGCAGATAAAGTGCTTCTCAGATAAGGTCAAGTTAGAGGAGTTCATCATCACCAAGCCCCTATTTTATGAAATGTTAAAGGGACTTATCTAAGAAAAGAAGATACAGAAAAAAATGTATAGTAAAAGGACAGCAAACTCACAATTATTAACAACCACACCTAAAGCAAAACCAAAAGAAACTAAGCAAACAACTAGAACAGGAACAGAACCACAGAAATGGAGATCACATGGAGGGTTAGCAACAGGGGAATGGGAGGAGGAGAGAGGGGGAAAAGGTACAGAGAATAAGTAGCATAGATGGTAGATAGAAAATAGACAGGGGCAAGCCAAGAATAGTATGGGAAATGTAGAAGCTAAAGAACTTATAAGTATGACACATGGACATGACTAAAGGGGGGGGGGATATGGGTGGGAGAGGGTGTACAGGGTGGAGGGGAGTGAAGGGGGGAAAATGGGACAACTGTAATAGCATAATCAATAAAATAGATTTAAAAAAAGAATATAAGAGCCATGATTAATCCTATTTTTAATAAGAGAGAAAACAGAGGTCCCGGGTGGGGAAATGACTTGGCCCAAGTGGAAGACTCTCAACGTGCATTGGACCTGTCTAGCCTTGGGTGCTCACAGACCTGCATCCACTGTGGACATTTTCCTCAGAGACTCCCCTAGGTGTGCCCAGGGATTCTGGGAAGAATGTGAAGAAAAAAGAACCCCTGTGCACTGTTGGAAATGTAAGTTAGTACATATATTATGGAAAACAGCATGGAAGTTTCTAAAAGAATAAGTAATAGAAGTATCGTATGATCCAATTTTTCCATTTCTGGGTATTTATTCAAAGGAAATGCATTTAGTAAACCGTACAGATATCTGCACACTCATGTTCCCTGCAGCATTATTTACAATAGATAAGTTATGAAAACAACTTAAGTGTCTGTCAACATTGATCGGATAAAGAAAATGCCATAAGCACACAATGGAATGCTACTCAGCCGTAAAAAGGATAAAGAAAGTGCAGTAAGCACACAATGGAATACTATTCAGCTGTAAAAAGGATAAAGAAAATGCAGTAAGCACACAATGGAATACTATTCAGCTGTAAAAAGAAAGAAAACCCTGTTATGTGCAACAACATGAATGTGATATGTGACATAACTCAGAGAAAGTCAAATACTGTATTACACGTGGGGAATACACGTATTGTTTAAAGTTGAACTCATGGGATCGGAGAGTGGAATGGTGGTTGCCAGGGGGTGGGGAAACGGGAAGTGCTGGTACGAACGACATCAAAGGGTACAAACGTGAGTTATGAGATGCATAAGCTGTGAGGGTCAGTGTGCAGCCTGGTGATTACAGTTAATAAAAGCCATGCTGTATACTTGCAATTTGCTAAGAATAAGTATTTTCACCAAAAATAAAAAGGTGACCATTGAGATGGTGTTAATTACCTTGATTGTGGCAATCATTTCCCACTTATATCAAATTATCATACACACATACACAAACATATATAGGAGTTTGTCGATTATACTTCAATTAAGTTGGAGAAAATAAAAATCAGATTTTCTGGGAAGGAAGAAAGGAAGGAAAGAAGGAAGGATGGAAAGAAGGTAGTCAGTCCCACATTTCTTATTGCTAATGTTTAACCCAATCCATCCAGGTTCTTCCATCTCATCTGCCTCAGCCTCTGCATATCCTTCTACCCCTTCCACAGGCGCCCATAGTTGCCCAAGACCAGGCGGTGTTCTGGGTTTTCCAGGGGACCAGCAGTGGGGCAAGACACCTTTGAGGAGTCTTGGGGACAGCCGCCAACAGAACCAGCCCTACCACTGTCTCCACTGCAGGCCTGCGTCTGTCTGGAGGAGGCGGCGGGGCTCAGCGAACACAGCCCGACGGAAAACCTTGTGAAGTTTCTGCCTTTCCTCTCGCTTAAGTGGACCACCTGCTAGGATTCCCAGCTGTCCGCCTAGGAGTTTCTGACCTCCCACCTCACTTTTGCCCCTGCGTCGGAGGGAGCAGACTTACCATTGGTTCTTCCAGCGTGTGGTCAGGAACCAGCAGAACGCTGTTAAGGCTGAGGCAGCTCTGAGCTGGGGAGCACAGGGCCTGGCCTTTTACAGAGGCCTCACTGGGAGGCACTGTGGTGCGGATTAGCACCTTTGGTTGGCCACGCCCTGCAGGGTGGAGCCCAGGGCACGTTCTTCTGCAGTTTCCATATCTCCCGATAAAGACTGATTGCATTACCTTCAAGGAGGTTATTGCAATCATTTCCCGAGTGTTCCCGCTATGGGGGGAAGCATTTTACAGCGGTATGAGGTGGTCTTTGTAATTGTCATCATACGCTGCAGAAACCGAGCCCCAGAGAGGTAATTTGCTGGGGGCCACAAAGAGTCAATGGTGGATTCTAGATTTGAACTCCAAATACCTGAGTGCTTAAACACAAAGGAGGCCTTAGACTTTAAATCCAATCAGTAGCCCATTCCACAGATAACGTGTCTTTGATAGCTGTAAATTTAATCAAATTACTTCTAGTGTGAAATCGTAGGAATTTGATCAGGTCACCTACAAATGGTATGGCATTTTTTTGATGTCCACCTCCCGTCCCCCTACTACTCAAGTTCCACCAAGACTGTTGCAGCCCAGCAGGGTGACACACGCCTGGGGTCTTGTGAGTGACGCTGACCCCCTTCCATCTGGTCTGGGTCTGCGTTGGGTCCCCACCACCTATGGCCTATCCGTCACCGACAAGCCTGGGACTTCAACGATTTGTAGAAAGATCACCCCTCTGGAGGGCTCCCTACCAGCCTCTGGTCTCTGCAAATTTTTAACGCTAGCCACCACACCCCTCTGCCTCGGGCCCAGGATGGAGTAATGGGTGAGGATGGCGGGCCAGTAGGGCTCCCAGTCCCTGGGTTCTGCTCCCGGCCACTGGAAGGCCTGTCCTTGTCGGCACCTCCAGTTGCTTCCCTCTTCCCCTGCTCAGAGGCCGCTGCTATCACGGGAGGAATGTGCTATCCAAACCGTTCTTTCACCCCGCCCTCTCCACCCCCGGGCACTGATCTGTTTTCTTTCACTATTCTTCGTATATAAATGGCAAAATATAGTGTTTTAAATACGATTTTAAATTTCTATAAATGGCATTATTCAGCGCTTGTTCTGAAATTTGCGTTTTTTCCCACTGGATAAGTCTTGAGACTTACATGTGGATAGAGAATTGGTGTGCTGTTTCTTCCTTGAGGGAGTAGAGGGAATAGGAGGGGCCATCCAAGAGGACTTTGGTTTCCGGACAGACTGACATTTTAGATTCTGGAACAGGTCAAGCAAGGAAGCCTTTGGTGTGAGCAACCAGCAGGGCAAAGAAAAGTCGGTTTCTTTTCAGGTT